GTGGTATTTCAAAAGTGGAGAGCATATACCAGGCTCCCAGCTGTGCTCAAATACCACTCTTACATCCCTATATAGGCACAATACCTCCCATGTTTGTGTCATTAGTAAATGTCACTAGAGGAACATAGGTCACTGTGGAAAATACTACATTACACACAATTTCAGAGTGATCCACAGACAACTTCACAAATAATCTTTCTCTGTTAATCATTCCCCTTTCAAGACACCTCTGTCATGATCTATCTCTTTGGCTAATTCCTTCTGCACTTTGAGTGTAACTTATGTACTATCTCCTCCAGTCCAGCTCATAATTATCACATATTTTCAATACTGAATGCCTTAATAAAGTCCACACATCTCAAACCTACACATTTCTTTTAAGTAAAATAAAAAATTACTCTTTATAAAATAAAAAAAATAAATAAATAAAAAAAAAAAAGAAGTAGATTAGTGATGTGGCTACAGAAAATTGAGGTGAAATTTCATTCCTTTCTACATTTATACCCACTTTTTTTGTCTTTCAAAATCTAGTCCTGGGACAAAATCTTAACTGGTACACACCAGTATAAATCTGTAATGTGTCTTCTTAGGAGTGATTATTAATGACTAAATATCAGGTAAAGAAATAGATTATAATTTCTCTGCACTGTCCTGATTTGTCCATTGCTACATTCCGGCTTGGTTTTCCTTGCCTTTGATTTTCCCCAGCCTGCCACACTGCCAAGTAACCACCATGATTGTGTATATCATTTACAGAAACTATGACTTTATAATCCCTGAAGTACATAAGCCTTAGCACAAGCTACTTCATCTGGATAAGTGCTGATTTAGAGCAGTTGAGAACTTCTCCCTTGTGTTCAGATTTACTGCCCATCTGGAAGACACTGACACTAAAGCTTATATAGGACTGGGTCATAACTTAAGCCACATTAAAGAAGAGATCAGAACAAGCATATATAGAATTCCCTTCAAGCTATCCTTGCTATTAAACTGCAAACAGCTCTAATTTCCAAAATGTAGATAAATCTCAAATATACCTATGAAGTCAACTCTGAGAAGGTTGTTGAACAGGCAGAGAGTTACAGCAGTGCTTAGTCACTGGGAGCATGTCTTCCTTGCAGCCGGAAAGGATGAGTGTGGCTATGCATGATTGGCATAGCTGCTGCATTAATCGCAGCTATCTGGGTAAAAATGATACTGTGAGAGCCTGAACTCAGCACAATTTCAGCATGAGTTTTGCAGTCTCAGGGAGCCCGGTAGAGCTGTATGCCGGAGGCAATGTGCTCCAGGTTGTACCTCTGTGACCTGGCCTCTGCATTACTGCCACGGAGGATGAAAGCCAGCAGCAATCCCACCGCTCACTGCAGCAGGGCTGCATCTGGCACATATACGGCCTGGTCAGCACTGCCAGCTGTGGGATGCACACAGCGAGGACCAAGTCTTCTGAAAAGCTGCCCACTGCACTCAAGCATGTCCTTCCTAAGAAGAAAGCTGCTAGAAAGCCTTCTACCTTGGATTAATTCGTGCTTATTTTTGTGGGATAGTAGTAAACAGCTTGTCAAATTGCCAAACCTTCATCCAGAAAAAAGGGCCGCACAGCTTTTGAAAGAAAACCTAACCAGAACGTAATAAGGAGAAAACAATTTTGCTCGAAATTTCCCAGAAATAGCCAGCCTGAGGAGGAAACCAGCATGGAGCATTAAACAATGGATTAGTTTGGAAAGTATGTGAGATCTGATAATAGCTTCTTGTAGTACAAAGCGTTCGACAGCTGTAATAAGGCAGTGCCATCAGTTCTGCCCATAATTTACTATTAATAAAAATAAAGACTTTCAGTTGGATTAGCTGCATAGTGTAAGAAAAAAATACATTCCATAATGATAATTTTCTTGACTCTTATACAAAATTTGATGCTACTGCAAAATCTGCCTTTCTTTCCTGCTGCTGCTAACATCATGCTAGCTATGTCTGAGTGCAGAATATGTCAAATGTTGCTTGAAGCTTGAGATTTCAATACTGCATGGAAAGCTGCTAATCTGCTAGTCTGGAATCCTGAAAGTCACTGATCTTTGTCTCTATCATTCAGATTCTTAAAATCATCTGATCAAGAAACTTTTGTATTATTTCTACTTTCATCCCTTGCCCCTTCCATTTTCTTGCAAATTAAATATTTTAAAGGATGTTTATGCATTGACTGTCAAGTAGAATTCACCCCATTAAACAGAATCAATTTATTTGGATCCAGAGTAAAGGATTCCCATAAAGCTTCCCATCACTCTAGCCATCTACTTGAAAGGAGAAAGTTGCTGCTGTGAGACGTCATTTCCTACATGCTTTCTTCAAGGAGAGCTGGCTTTCTAAAGAATAATGTTTTGTTTAGCTAATGAATAAAGCTTGCTCTACATAGATTGCAATTGTAGTATCAGATTCTCTGTATTTTATACAACAGGATAATTGACCATTTATTCAATGGATCACTAGAAAATGCTTGACCGTAATAATAATTGGAATGAACAGAAAAGAATTCTAAATGCCACAGTCTAACAAATACATTACTTCATCAGAAGGGCAGTTTTGGGTCCCAGCTTATACACATCATGCTGATCTGAATGCTTTCTTAACATTAAGTGCTTCATATTTAAAAGTGCTGTGCAGACATTAAGTAATCAATCAGTTTTCTTATTACAATATTTTATCCTGTTCTGTGGTGTCAGGTTTGCCATATTATAAACTACTATAAGTGCCAATCAGAAGATGCAGAGTGCCTTTTTTGATGCTTAATGCAGTTTGTTGTGCTTAAATTATAACTGATTGGAATGCTCTTCATTCAGTTACATTCATCATGTTTTCAGAAACACTGGCTTTTTATCTTGAATATAGTTTTGTAACAGCATTCTGTGGCACTGTAATGAATGAAAAAAGTAAAAACTGATGCATATATACAGTAAGCCATAAGAAAATGATAATTTACAATGAACAGAACAGAATAGAATAGAATAGAATAGAATAGAATAGAATAGAATAGAATAGAATAGAATAGAATAGAATAGAATAGAATAGAATAGAATAGAATAGAATAGAATAGAATAGAATAGAATTTCAGTTGGAATGGACTTGCAATGATCATCTAGTGCAACTGCCTGACCACTTCAGGGCTGACCAAAAGTTAAAGCATGTTATTGAGGGCATTGTCCAAATGCCTCTTAAACATGGAGAGGCTTGAGCATCGACCACCCCTCTGGGAAGCCTGTTCCAGTGTTTGGGCCACCCTTTCGGAAAAGAAATGCTTCCTAATGTCCAGTCTAAATCTCTCCTGGCGCAGCTTTGAACCATTCCCACACACCTTATCACTGGATACCAGGGAGAAGAGATCAGCACCCCCCTCTCCATGTCCCCTCGTCAGGAAGCTGTAGAGAGTGATGAGGTCACCCCTCAGACTCCTTTTCTCCAAACTAGACAAGCCCAAAGTCCTTAGCTGCTCCTCATAGAACATGTCTTCCAACCCTTTCACCAGCTTTGCTGCCCTTCTCTGGACACATTAAAATACTTTCACATCCTTCTTAGTTTGTGGGGCCCAGAACTGCACACAGTACTCAAGGTGAGGCTTCACCAACACTGAGTACAGTGGTATAGTCCCGTCTTTAACCAGCTGGTTATGCTGTGTTTGATGCACCCCAGGATGCAGTTTGTTCTCTTGGCTGCCAGGGCACACTCCTCACTTATACTGACCAGCACCCCCAGATCCCTCTACCTTTGCAGTATTTCCCATGCATAGAATAGGAAATGCTTCAAACATCTTTGTCAATTTAATCCCTCTGTCAGTAAATAATTACTGACAGGTTTGTGTTCCACTATGAAGCTGGAAAATTATTTCCACCATTCTGCTCACACAGAAGTTGGTCAAAGGCTCAAATATCCAACCAAACTCAGAATTTGGCCTTGATTTTTCTTAATGCTTCAGAAAAAAAATGCCACATTTTAACCTCAGATATATAGCTTATCTCTTTAGATAGTGTAAATGAATATAATTCTACCAGTTTCCATGAAATTATGATGTACCCTCACTGAGAATCTTGCCTTGGGATTCCAGTAAAATTAATGGCAATGCCTGTGTTCAAGGACAGATTTTAATGAGTGTCTCAGAAGTGCTGACAGACAAATAGATATCTTTTGTCCAAGTCATCTGAAGGACAAGCAAGCAAAAATGCTTTCCTTCCAGCTCAGTTTAGGAAGTGAAATGAAAGCATTATCCAGCTTGGCAGTTTAAAGACAGTGAGAGCTGTGGTCAGTGGCTTTGATTCCAGCCTCCCTTCTAAACCTGCCAGACTCCACATGTGGGGTGCATGCCAGTGCTAGCATGTCACAGTGACCTGGACAGTGGGATGCACACATCAGATCATGCAGGAAATGTAAAGTACTATGAGAGTATTTACAACTTTTTGCTGTCAGAATAGCTCTGATAAAGTGTGGAAGAAAGCAGGCAGAACAATGAAAGCAAACAGAAAAGAAAGCAATACTTGACTTCCCTCCTGCCCTTTAAGGACATTACTCTAAACTACTTGAGCTTGTGAATAAATCAGCTAAGCTGCACACTATGCTACATTCTTTAGACTATTTAATCTTGCTTTGGTAACACGTTATAATCTTCCTGTATTCTGTTACTCATTTACTTACTTGTTAATAATACATTATACTCCAGATGTTAAGAATGCAACTAGCTTACAGAAGTTTCTAATAACCATTGTTTCCTGTGCTGCTTCTTTCAGTAATTATGAGCATGGTATAAAGAACTGTACATAACTTCATAGTTATGACCAACTTTAGGTAGTCAGCTGATAAGCAGCTAGATAGCTAAATCTGAAGTTTAGCTGTGGTTCAGGCCCCTGTCTGGTTTGAATGGAGATAGCAATGGAACAATTCCATCTCAAATCCATGGAAGAATCTGACTCCAGGCATGTGGATTCACGCCAAAACACAATTTTTGTCAGCAAAGTCAACACTTACTGTCCAGTGATCTTGAAGAGAGGGGATTTTAAAGATATTTTTTCATAAGTTTTCTCAAAATTGCCTCAGCAAAGGAATGTTTGGTGGCCACTCCAAGATCTTTTATAAAAGTATGTTTCAAGAATAATGAAAATAATAAAGAGTTCATATTCAACATTTTTGAGGAAGTGCATTTTTATATGTTTAAAACATTTTCTGATAGAGAAATGGCATGCTGACATAGCATACTGTTACGAGAGTATCTTTAGTATTTTACAATATTCTGAAAATTTAAATTCAGAAATTGGGGATTTTTTTTTATTGGTTGCTTGCTTGCTTCCCATGTACCGATCCTGTAGAGAAAGTATAGTGTCAACACCAGAAATGCACATGTTAGATTTGACTGGAGTTTCAACAAGAAGGGCCAGAAGGAGGATCCGGGGAACTACAGGCCTGTCAGTCTGACCTCAGTGTCAGGGTTAAAGTTATGGAGCAGATCATCTTGAGTGCCATCGCACAGCATGTACAGGACAACCAGATGACCAGGCTCTGTCAGCATGGGTTTATGGAAGGCAGGTCCATCTTGACTAATCTGATCTCCTAAGACAAGGTGAACCACTAAGTGGATGAGGGAAAGGCTGTGGATTTTGTCTACCTAGACTTTAGTAAAGCCTTTGACACCTTTTCCCACAGCATTCTCCTGGAGAAACTGGCTGATCATGGCTTGGACAGGTTTACTCTTCCCTGGGTAAAAACTGGGGGCATGGACAGGCGCAAAGAGTTGTGGTGAATGGAGTTGAATCCAGTTGTCAGTCACTCACAAGTGGTGTTCCCCAGGGCCCAGTATTGCGGCCAGTTCTGTTTAATATCTTTAGTAATGGTTTAGAAAAGGAGATTGAGTGCACCCTGAGTAAGTTTGCAGAGGACACCAAGTTGAGTGGGAGTGTTGGTCTGCATGAGGGTAGTAAGGCTCTACAGAGGGATCTGGACAGCTGGATTGATGGGCCAAGGCCAATTGTATGAGGTTCAACAAGGCTTAGTGCTGGGTCCTGCACTTGGGTCACAACAACCCCATGCAACTCTCCAGGCTTGGGGAGGAGTGGCTGAAAAGCTGCCTGGCAGGGCCTGGGCATGGTGGTTGACAGCCAGCTGAACATGAGCCCACAGTGTGCTCAGGTGGCCAAGAAGGCCAATGGCACCTAGCTTGTGTCAGAAATACTGTGGTCAGCAGGACTAGGAAAGTGATTGTCCCCCTGTACTCGGCACTGATGAGGCTGCACCTCAAATACTGTGTTCAGCTTTGGGTCCCTCACTACAAGAAAGACATTGAGGTGCTGGAGTGTGTCCATAGAAGGACAACAAAGGTGGTGCAGGGTCCAGAGCACAAGTCTTATGAGAAATGGCTGAAAATTGTTTAGCCTGGAGAAAAGGAGACTCAGGGGAGACTTTATTGCTCTCTACAGCTACCTGAAAGGAGGTTGTAGTGAGATGGTTGTTGGTCTCTTTTCCTAAGTAATAAGTGATAGGACAAAATGAAATGGCCTTAAGTTGCACCAGGTGAGGTCTTGATTGGATATTAGGAAAAATTTCTTCACTGAATGGGTTATCAGGCATCGGAACAGGCTGCCCAGGGAAGTGGTTGAGTCACCGTCCCTGGAGGTATTTCGAAGATGCATAGACGTGGTGCTTAGGGGACATGGTTTAGTCACTTCTAGGATGAGGTTACAACATTGGTGGATAAGGGAAGAGCAACTGACATAATCTACTTGGACTTGTTCAAAGCATTTGACACTGTCTGGCACAGCATCCTTGTCTCTAAATAGGAGAGACATGGATTTGACAGATGGACTACTTGGTGGATAAGGCATTGGCTGGATGGTCATACTCAAAGAGTTGCAGTCAACAAGCTTAACATCCACGTGGAGAGCAGTGATTAGTGGCATTCCTCAGGGGCCAGTATTGGGACTGATGCTGTTTAACATCATTGTTGGTATGTTGGGCTTATGTGTAGTGGGGGGTTTTGGTAGCAAATGAGGGACTACAGAGGTGACTCCTGTGAGAAGCTTCTAGAAGCTCCCTAAGCTCCAAGTCAGACCTGCCTCTGGCCAAGGTTGGGCCACTTAGCAACAGTGGCTGTGCCTCTGTGAAAACATATTTAAGAAGGGGAACCTGGAGAGGAGGAGGAGTTGTGAGGAAAATACCTATGCAAACACTGAGGTCAGAGGAAGAGAGGAGGAGGATGGGCAGGTGCATCAGAACAGAGGTTCCCCTGCAGCCCGTGGTGAGAGGGCAGGCTGTCCTCTTGCAGCCCATGTAGGACTCCACACTGGAGCAGGTGGCTGTGCCCAAAGAAGGCTGGGATTCTGTGGGAAGCCCCTGCTGTTGTTATTCAGTGCTGGGAGAACTGCAGTCCATGGAAGGGACACACACTGGAATAGTTTGTGAAGATCTGCAGCCCATGGGAAGAACTCACCTCAGAGAAGTTGGTGGACTGTCTCCCATGAGAGGGACCACACGATGGAGCAGGGGAAGAATGTAAGGAGGAAAGAAGCGACCTTCCTCCTCCCTGAGGACATGGACGTGTTCAAGTGGGTCCAGAGGAGGCCACAAAGATGATCAGGGGGCTGGATCAGCCCTATGAAGATGGGCTGAGAGTTGGGATTGTTCAGCCTGGAGAAGAGAAGACCTTATAATAGTGGCCTTCCAGTACTTACACAGCAACAGCAGGAAAGATGGGAAAGGACTCAGGGAGTGTAATGATAGAGGGGTAATGGTTTTAATCTGAAAGAGGGTAGATTTAGATTAGATGTAAGGAAGAAATTCTTTCCTGTGAGGGTGGTGAGACACTGGCACAGGTTGCCCAGAAAAGCTGTGGCTGCCCCCTCCCTGGCAGTGTTCCAGGCCAGGTTGGACGGGGCTTGGAGCAACCTGGTCTGGTGGAAGGTGTCCCTGCCCATGGCAGGGGGGTTGGAACTAGATGATCTTTAACCCAAACCAACCCAAACCGTTCTATGATTCTATGATTCTATGTTTAGTGGTAGACTTGGCAGTGTTAGGTTAACAGTTGGACTTGATTACCTTAAAGGTCTTCTCCAACCTAAATAGTTCTGATTCTATGATTCTATGAGAAGTCAGCCTCAAGGTGCCCAAGGACCTACTTTATTTAGCAGAAAGGCAGTACTGATCTTTGAAGAAGAGGCAACAATTAGGCACCATTACATGACCCTGCATCACCCATCAGATTGGTAAAAAGCAGAAATAAAGGCAATTAAAGTCAATGGTTTTGTAGTAGTAGGCAATACGTTTTTGAAGAGAATCAAGACTTGACTGTAGATATATCTGGAGAGAGAGGTGTATGTTGTGTATAGTTTTACAGGTATAAATCTGCTTCTTTCTCTCTTGCTTCTCTGTCAAGTATATCCTTGGCATCTGGCTCCAGTTTTACAATAGGCAATCCACTGTTTTTTCCTCCCTGGTTTGTGTGTCTCTAACTATGTGACCCCATTTCAGTGAAAGAAATATACATCAGTTCATAGGCTATAGCAGAACTGATATTTCTCATCCTTAGTTCTCTTGCAATTTAACATATAAACATCCTCTCAAGAGAGTTTCCCAGGAGAGGGGTGGGACGATGAAGCCATGTAAAGTACTTACTGCATCTGAAAGAAACGCATCTGGTGAGGCCGTGGAATGCATTAGCTCACCAAGGTGATGAAGTGAAGTTTGAAATGACATTTAAGTGCCATGAGGGATGGCTGCAAAGGAGAGCTACTGACTGGGTAAGGCTTTTTCTTTCGACACATTGAAAAGCTCTTGTTATTCTTGCTAACCTGCTGCTACCCCAATGGGAGAAGGGTTATTAATATCTAAAAAAAAAAAAAAAAAAAAAGGAAGAGAGAGGGATCCTCTAACACTTTTCACTGTAGCAATATGATGCAAATGTGCTCATACCTTCAAAATGGTGCTGGGTTTGCTTGATGGAAACATGTCACCACCACAACTCCAGTGCCTCAATGGAAGCAAATCACACCTTTGATTCTGCCCAGTTTAGAGAAATATTGAACTACAATGATATGAATAGTCCCATCATCAAAATGAGAACTCTGACACCTTTCCCCTCTCTTTATTTATTTTCCTTTTATAAAGAAATTTCTTTATATATTTTACTAAAAGTAATAATAAATAATAAGATGTATAACAAAATAAATATTTATGTAAAAAGAATAATGATACTTGTCCCATTTGCAAAGTGTTTTGAGATAAACCAAAGGAATAAAAGCTACACAATATTCACATATACTATTTAAAAGACAAGTAATAATGATGTTAAACATTTCTGTAGGCTTGGCAGAATCAAGAACTGAGTACCTTCTCCTGACTCACACTCTTCCAGTGACAGTTGATAAGATGAGAGAAACTGGATTAATTCTTTCAATCCTTTCTTCATTAGTCCATGACTCCATGACAGCTTAGATTAGCCTAATATGTGGTCCCATTGGACTTCATACAATTTTCTACATTATTTAGTTTGGTGAAAAAATGTTTTGCATGCATTACATAAAAATGTTTCTGTCTACAGAGCTGACTGCATTACAAATTTAGTGATCTGAGCCTAGAGAGATGTCATAGTGTGCTACACTTTTAAATAATTTACAGTTTAGAACATTTGCTGTTGACACACAAAATAGACACAGAAACTTACTATGGACCTTTCCCCCCTTCTATGGTATATTTTGAAGTACTGATTAATTTGTTAAGAACTTGTATGTTATCACTTTTAAAAGGTTATTGTTTTACTTTTGGAAATTCACAATGAATGAAATTTTGGTTCTCTGAAATGAATGCCAAAAATCATACCAATTTCACATGTCCAGGATTTTGTTATGGTTTTATATAAGCAATGGCACATTAACTTAATTAATAGAAATATGTTAGATGTTCTATATAGAACTCAGACTGGTCTTGCACAAACTTCAGAACTATTTTTTAACAAATACTGCAGGGATACCATCACTACACTTGTGCTTTCCAATCACACTTGGTATTTTCCAGTAAAATTCAGCATCAGCTCTGCAGCATCACCTTTCATGATCTTTCTAGCTTGCCTAAACTGAGTAAATGCAATTTTGTAGCAACACTAAAGATACAAATAGTGCACTGACCTCTCCTGGGAGGATATACTAAAATGAATTTGTAAATAAATTATGAGAAGTAGTGAAATTGAAATAAACAGCAGAAACTGATTTTATAGAATTCCTCACAGTATTGGATATGTGTATTTCCTTCCTAGAACAGAAATCCTAACAACTAATGTCTGAAAATTTCAAATAGTGAGAGTTTTCTTAGGAATAGTGTTTCCATATATAATACTGAACTTGAAAACGGAGGTGGAACTCCTATAAAACCTCCCCTTGGACAGGTCTGTACATTATGACATGCAGTACTGCCATTACTGTGCAATCAAGTCCTTAGCAAGGGCTTTGTTGCTGGGCCCTTCATAATTTATTTAATGTCCCTACTCTCAGTAGGGCTATAAAGGTAATTGTTTAGGAACATCTCAAGTGGAAATCAAATCCTTTCAGTTTCCCAGAAAAATTTTAATTCTTCGTACATGTTAGGGCAAATATTCCTGCAGAGTTGGAAAATGTGCTCATTCTTGTAAATACCTTTATGAGATGGGCTACTTTATGTTTTCGAGGTGAGAAGCTATCACAAAAAATTTTGACATTGACTTTGAAGAAAAAAATCTACAGAAATATATTTAGACTCACCCAAACAGTGTCAGAAAGTTTTAGGTTCAGAGGTACGAGTGAATCTGCAAAGTCAAGGAATATTTTCATTGTGGGAAAACACAGTTTCAACTCAACAGCAATTTACAGGATCGCATTATGTGCTACTGCTGTTCATCAGCATGGCCATGTAGGTAGAAAAGATGAGAGGTGAGTGGGAAAGATGTAGGCTGAATTGAGTTACAATTACTAAGAGAAGGAAAAAACACTGTTATGGCAACAGTTGTTGAGATAACTCTGACTGATAATTAATTTTATATGAAGGAAGCCCTAAAGTGCAATTGGAAGATGCAGTGATGTATGCTTGCATAGCTTTGTATTTTGGAAGCCGTGAATGAATTTAAGGATTTGGACCTTTAATAAGAAATGAATTCTAATATTGTACTTAAGAGAAACCAAAGCAATTGCTGAACAGACAATCAGGAAAGGATCATGCAGGCTGGAATGACCCCCAGAGGTGTCTGGTCCAATCTCCTGCTTGCAGCAGGAGCAGCTATGGCGTCAGACCATGTTGTGTAGGGTTTGGAAAACCTTCAAGGAGCCTGCACAGCCTCTCTGGGCAGCCTGCTCCACCACTTGATCATCCTTCAGGGAATTATATTCTTGCTGAAAAAGTTGGTTTATTGAACTAATACTGTTACTGAGGGAGCAGTCACCTGTTTCACGGGTGAATGCCAGATCCATGGGTGTAGAAATGGACCTGGAGTTCTCAGCTGTTTTCAGAACAGAGACGATGTAATACGGCACAAGCAGAAATCAGTTATTTTGGATGGGGGGAAGAGCATTACAAATCCATGGATGAAATCAACTGACAAATTTAAACTGAAAAGGAATGGTAGTAACCATTTAAAAAGCTTCAATTCTTGTGAGGAAACTTCTTGGCCTAATTTCAGGCAGAACGATCCATTAGAAATCCTCAGAGATAGGGAGTGCCAAGCCAACTACTTCAGGAAGATATTTAAACAAGGCCCTGTGCCAGTAAGTGACTCAGTAAGCCACAGGTTTACTGTGTGGGTTTCTTTTCCTCTCAAAATATTAAGTCACAGACAAAGTACAGAAAGCTGTAGCAGACATGGAAGAAACTGGGAAATAACTTCATTACAGCTGAGTGAGGATTTTTCTGTGGGAAGATCTTACATATTTCTGCAAAATTTAGTGCTTTAATTTTGTCTCAAGAAAGTTGAAGCAAAACCTTTCATTTCATATGATAGCACAATGTGGTTTGGTTTTTGTTTTCTGTTTTTCTTTTGTTCGTTTTGTTTGTTTGTTTGTTTGTTTGTTTTTAATGTGACAGAGATCAAGAGTGTAATTTCTGAGTTCACTTGTGGTCCCTTCACCTCCTGTGACACTCTGCAAGAGCTGTGACGCCCGACAGAGCCAGGCTCCCCACCTTACCTCCATTTCCCACACTGGTCACCCACATGATCAGTTCAACAGCACACAAGTCAGGCAGAAGCACAAAATGGAAGGATAGAGGTTTAAGCATATATATACCCTTTTCGCCCACAAGCACTGCTGAGCAGGGTAAACCTACTTTAGGCATCCACTGTGTGACAGATAGAAGTTTGTGATCAAAATTTCTCCTCTGCCTTGCACCCAAGACACCACAAAGATACCCAGAAGACACAGAAGCATGGCAAAAATTACTTATGTCTGTTCAACCAACTTGTTTTCTCCACTGTAGCTTCCTTTACAATTGTGGGCTTCATTTTTTCATGTTTGTACTGTGAGGGAGAGATTTTGGAGGAAGATGATAGAGGTCCTTCAGTAGCAAGCAATTGTGAGACCACAACCAGATGGGTAAGAGGAAGAGCTGATGACATCTTTACCAGCAGATGCCAAAGACTTCATGACTGTGAGGCCCAAGGTCCCTTGGGTGAAGAGTAAAGGAGATCAGACTGTACTGTCAGTATGACCTGGAGATCCGCCTGTGTCTGACCTGCCGAGGTGACTTATGGAAATTAATGCAACATGCAGTCAGGCGTTAAGAAGGAAGTGTGGATTTTCTGTGAAAGCTTTCTACCAAGAGCTGAAGTTTCTGGATTTATTTAGGTCTACAGTACCATTAGTTTCTG